GTTATTTTTGTATTTTAAGAAAGTTTTCAACATCAAAAATAAGCAAGTTATAACGAAAATGATGTTGGTCCATCCCTATATTTTGCAGTGAAAAAATAATATGAAAACTAACCCGTTAGGTTACAATCCCATTTGAAAAAATCGTTATCACTTTACCATTAACTTTATTTATATACTTCAGAAGTTTGATCGGTTCAAAATGCTGAGCTTGAAATGAAAAAGCATTTTTATAGTTTTGTGAAAAATGAGTTTTCGTCCAAAATAGTTCAAAAACGTTTGATGATACGTTAAGTATAGCTATAATGTGTTTTCATCAATGCTGCAGGCAATAGTTTTTGATGTATTTAGAAGTAAAGGAAATGTTTTGAAAAATTACAAAGAAAGCTATCTTCACTTCAATTTTTTTCAAAATTGAGCACTTCAAACCAGTTAAACTTCTAGAGTAAATTAAAATTACATAAATATAGTGAATTGTGCAGTGGCAAAGATTATTCTTCATTTTGGGTGGTAGTGAAAAGAGATTTTCAGTTTTGAGGACGAAAACTTTCTTAGTTTTGATACTAAGTACTTTTATAAAAAACATGAATGATTTTTCCAAGCACTTCGAACATATTTTATGAGTTTCCACCAAAAAATGTATTGTTATTTAGTTATTTTACTTTGAAACTTTCAATTGTGGCGTCTGACGAATCAAAATCAACAATTATGAAGCTTCTCCTTTGTGTTTGATCTACACACACCATCAAAGCCACCATTTTTTTCTTATTTTCTCATACGCTATATTTCTACTGGGGTTGATTTTTTTGGAGTTATACTTCTTTTGGCGCGTTAAAGAAAAAAGATGACACCGTGAAATTAGCTTTTTCTTCTTTAATTTATATGGCCGTTGCTTCTCAGTCGAGCGCATTTGGCCAGACTCCTCTTTTCCATAGTGAACAGAAGATTTGTCCGGGGGCGCAGCTCGAGGCAATGCTGCCACTCTTTCCTCATTTACTTTTTCTTTTATGAAAACACTTCATTTTTTCAGTAGGGGACCGCCAGTCTTCTCAATATGACTTTCACAAATAACACATCTATTATCGGACTGACGACCTCGTCGAATCCGTCGACATCCAGCCTGGTTACTGGCGTAGGGGGCCGCCAGTCCTCTCAAAACGCTTTCAGTTGATATTAATTTGAACTTGATTCATTTTTTTTGAAACACCTCTCTTTTGGACTCCACTCCGACCACGACATCCACGTGCCATCTTTGAGGATGTGTTATCGGCATAACCGTCCTCTGTCGCGATCGGAGAATTGGTAAAATTTATAAACAAACTTTTGGTACTCCAATGGGAGCTAAGATTGATACATACACACCCACTGTTTTTTTGGTGAAATACCTACTTTTTGAGTTATTTGCAAAAACGGTATGTAAACGTGCTAGGTTGGTTGAAAAATTGTCACTTTTGCTCACTAGTCAAAAAAGTGAATAAAATTAGTTAAATTTTTCATTTCCAGACTTATTTTCGATGAAATATTTACCCTCAGTGTAAAAGCAACCCCTAATACTGGATCAACTTTGAAGTAGAGTAAGTAGAGCCAAATCCCAAATTTTTCTGCAAATTGGTGCTGTTTTTTAGAAATATACCTACACTATCGCCGTATTTTACCTCCAATGAATGAACTTTAGCAACGTGACAACCTTGTAAAACATAATTCTGGTTTGGTTATTTTTTTTTCAAATTCATATTGGTCGCCTTAACTTCAAAGTAATACCTACATTGCCAATAATGCAGAGCTGCTGTAAAAACTGAATGAAAGTACTTAAGTATTCCGAATCAGTTTCAGAATCAGTACTTCATATACTTTAAACCTATTCATAAGCTAGGTACCATTACTATGTTTTCATTTTCTTGCAATCTAGTTTGCAGTCAATTAGCTCTCATTTTCATTGAAAAATTCAGTACCTACCAATTTCCTCAACGTATTCTATACTCCAATTCCAATATACAGGGTGTATGTTTAATAATGATGATTCTCTTTTCAATTTTATGAAAAAATGTTCATGCAAAACAATAATAATTTTCATCGTTTTTTTGACAAAAAGAGTGAATAAACAATATATTCACTCTATTCTTTATGCAATTATCGTATTGGGATGATTTGAGAAAATTTAATGCACTTTGGAGATTTTCTTTGTTCTGGTAGATGGAAATTGTATGTTTCATCATCATATCATTTATCATGTGATGATAACAATTGAATATATATCAACATTCACAAAATAAAAATAGTTAGATAATGAAGTTGTAATAAGTTTCAGACAGAAAGGAAGGCATAAAACACAATCACGATTGAAATTTCTTCCTTCTATTACCTTTTCCTAATGTATTATCACCTCTGAAAAATTGGTATGAAAAATCAGTTCCCTAAGATAAGTATCATATTGAAATTGTTATTGGTTTCCGGTAGATATTAGATTGGCGAATTTGAAAATTAAGAAACTAATGGGCACTTTACTTGATAAGGAAGTACGAGATTTGTTTACCTCAATAATAAGATCATCAAATGATCAGGATTATACTTTCTTTACCTTTTTCTTTCATAGCCTGGAAAACAGTATCCAGTTTTTCTTCGTCGAGTATTTCCAACAACTTGCCACCTGACTGCCGCTTACAATACTCAATAGCTTCATGGTTTTTCATCTGGAGAAGAAAACAATAACCATATAATTATATAGGAAACCAGATGTGATTCAATTGAATGCAAAATAACAATTATATTTCAAAAACTTAATCAAACATAGAATTTTGAACACTATAGATTTTTATGTTATTTTCCTTTGTAAAAATTGACTCTTTCCACTCATTCTGCAACACTTGAAACCATAATTAATATGAATGGAATAGTTGAGTAATTTCTGGAAACAATATTCCCAGCTGGAGGTATAAATCCTGGTTCAGTAAAAAAAATAGAACTATCATCTTCAGATTGACAGGATATTTTTTTCTACTTGCAAACACCACCACCGCATTGATGTCGGAAAGCAGTCACTTTTTCCTTGGGCAAAGGAAATTAGACAATTGCATAATTAGAGAATCAGCAATGAACTGATACAGGTTTCCAAAATACACCGAATTCACTGCTAACACGAGCAGATAGTACAATAACACCAACAACAAAAAAGCAAATTTGCTTGTTTAACAATTTCCGTCCTACTCCTACATACCATTCTTTCGAAAAATATTATTTCATTCCATGGTCGGGTCTTTATGGCGTATTGAGCAACAATAGACTTTTCTGGTCCGTACCACTCGTTGAAATTAACGAGTTTTGAAAACTACTTTCATTTTTAGTTTTTCGACAATTCAATCCATTTTTCGGGGTTTTCATTTATGGCTGTCCAGCTTGCTCAAATATCGTTTTTTATAAGTTATTGACTAGTCTGAATCTTTCTCAGGCGGAAAATTTCGTTTAGGTGATAATAGCATATTTATCTTTCGATTTAGATACCCCGACATTAGCCGATAATGCACAAAGGTAATTTTCAGGTTATGGTACCAAAAATTATTGAATGGAGTAGGTATAAGTTGATGGATAAAACTAATAAGTATTCGTAAGAAAATGTCCTTATAAGGCAAAACTGCAGTAACGTTAGTTACAAATACAAGTGATATAAAAACATAGGAAGTTTTATTTCTTATTTTTCATAAAAATACAATAGGCATAGTTAATTGGAAAAATTAAAGGATCTGTTTTCTCTAAGATGAATGTTCAAATTTCGCGGGTTATGTACATTCGATTAGCGGATTTTTTTATTTTTTAATGTCGGTAAACTCGTCTAAAACATATGCTCACAGTTTCAGCATTTAGCATGTTTAGTTTGTTGGTAAGAGGCATGAAAGTTAGAAGAGTTTTGAGTGTTCGGCGATTTTCTGCAATCGAAAACAAATCAAAAACTTTTGCATCAAATTATGTGTGAAAAATGGAATTGAGTGCTCAAAAAACACTTGAATTGTTGACAGTGGCATACGGTAATTGTACTCTGAGTAACAAAAATGTTCACAAGTTGTACAAGCTTTTCACAGAAGATCGAGAAAATGTGAATGAACAGACAATGAAAATGTCAAGAAAGAGAAGAAAATTGATATGGAGAATCGTCGAATCACTATTAGAAAAGTTTCTGAGAATGTCGGCATATCGGTTGGCTCATGCCATGCAATTTTTTCGGAAATTTTGTGCATGTAACGTGTGACAACGAAGTTCGTTCCAAAATTGCTGAATTTTGACTAAAAAAACATCGCATGAGCATCGCTCAGGAATTGTTAAATGACGTCAACGGCGATCCAGATTTGCTTAAAAAGGCCATAACTGGTGACGAATCATGAGTATATGGTTATGACATCGAAACCAAAGTCCAATCGTCCCAATGGAAGAGACCAGGAGAGCCAAGACCAAAAATAGCATGCCAAGTTCGATCAAATGTCATGGTTTTGCTCACCGTTCTCTTCGATTACCATGGCTTAGTGCATCAGGAGCTCTTGCCATATAGTCGTTCAGACAATAAGGAGTATTATCTTGAAGTTATGGGCCGCTTGCGGAAAGCAATAAGAAGAAAACGTCCGGTATTGTGAAAAAACAATTCATGGGTTTTGCATCACGATAATGAACCTGATCACGCAATTTTTTTGCCAAATCCGTAATCATGCCTCAGTCACCCTATTCACCAGTTATGGCCTTCTGCAACTTTTCAACTTTTTCCTGTTCCCGAGATTGTAGAGATCAGTGAATGGATGGCGTTTTGTGGCGATTGAGGGGATAAAAACCGAATCGCTGGGACAGCTCAAAGATATACCAATTGCTTCTGAGAACTGCTTCAAGGACTGGGAAAAACGCTGGCACGAGTGTATTATATCTGAAGGGGACTCCTTTGAATAGGACAAAATAGAAATTGATGAATGAATGAATATTTTTTGCAAAAAATTAAAATTTACTTTTGAACAGAGTAGTATAAGTGTGACATAATCATGACGAGACACACAATTTACCTTGATATAATCACGTTTCTGGAATAGCAAAAGAAACAGCCTCTGGAGAACTTTCAAAACTGTTTCGAACTGGAAAGCTGTTCACACAAATAATTAACTTTCATTGATTCATAAATCTGAAATCAAACCTGTTACTCACTTGTATGGATCTCTGTCCACAAACATAGCCCAAGGCTACCAGATCATCATAAAAAAAGCATTCGCTTGATTGGGAATCCAATCAACACAAACGACAGCGATTGTCTAGCACATCGAAATGAGAAATTCTATTCTATGGATAATTTCATAGAAATTGTTTGATTGACTTGAATCCCTTGATTTTTACTATTCAAATCTACAAGCGAATGTAATTTAAAGTAATTTAATTCCAAACGAAAAGGTACAAGTTCCGCTTCCAGAGCGAATTGAGAATTATTTTGCAGTGCTTTAACAACTTCATAAAAAATCAATAATCCTTAAATCTTATATAAAATTGAGTTCATAGCCAGAATCGATTAAGTGAAACTTTTATGTGAAGTAGCAACGCCAAACTTTTATTCATTTACAATTTATCTGCTCACGAGCATAGCCCAAGGCTACCGGATTATAAAAAAGAAGCATTCGCCTGACTGGAAACCCAACTAACACAAACAACATCGACAGTCTATTACATCGACAGGACAAATTCCATTCTATGGATAATTATATAGAAATTATTTGATTGACCTTTTCCTCCAGATCAAATCCACAAGCGAATGTAATATAAAGTATCCATGATAATATTTATAGGATATTCACAATAAATTTTATTTGAGACGCGTATGCCACATGATAGCAACTTCATCAGTTACTGGTACATGAAAGTAATTAAATTATTTGTCTAATAAGTTTCGTTATTACTTACTCTTAGATTAAAGACGTTGTCGAATTATTTGATGTACCCGTAACTGATAAAGCTACCATGTAGCAAGATGCGTCTAAAATAGAATTTATTGTAAAAATCATCATCATAGTGTTGATAATGTTCATCAAGTAATAGGTCACAGTATTCGTATTATAAAGTAATTCAGTTCCAAAGGAAATAGCACAAGTTCCGCTTCAAGAACGATTTGAGGATTACTCTGCAGTGCTTTTGCAACATCATAGAAAATTAATAATTCCAGAATCTTAAATGATAATTGAGTTCGTAGCCAAATTTGAATAATTAAACCTTGCATGTGAAGTAGCAACACCAAAGTTATTCCAATAATTTACAACTCCTTGTTAAAAATCAATTTGGTGGTTTAGTGTAGCTCATTGAATTTTTATTGTACACGACTCAGAGCTAACTAACTTGGTAGATACTTATCACCCGCAATCTCGAAAGAATACATTTATGAAAAAATGAATGAAATGAATGAAAAAAGATTCCATCTCCCCCCCAATAATTTACAGTTTGTCGTTTACTAACCTGCTTATCAATGAAAATAAACTGAGGCTCCACTTCAGTTGTATTTTTAATGTAACAAGTTTGACCCTCAAGTTCAACTTTCAAGAGGGATACCTCCTTACTTTCGCACTCATCCTCGAGCTGGTAACGTTCACAAACATATTGAAGTTGATTTTTGCACGACAGTTCCTTCCACTCAAGAGAATTATTAGAGTCTGTAACTCCTACGCAATATCCTTTTCCTTGAGGTTCATTCGGACTCCAGTTGAAATATGACAGTTCTTTGCCATCCAAAGTATACCATTTAGTTCCATAACACTTGTTAGCAGAAATCCAAACTGGCGTGTTTACACCTAAAACATATATGTTAAAATACACTGTGTTACTTCCGAGTCTGAAGTGGTATAAGTGCAAATATTAACAACTATGTAATTGCTCAAAATACAACTAAGACGCCATATACAAAGAACAACTATTTCACTTTTTCCACTTATTCACTATCGCTTGCTAGTGACTTTTACCGTGAACGTATATCTGAACTGATTTCAGTCTGAAATGAATCTCATTACGCTTGCTTCAAAATTGACTGCCAGAGCATTTTTGCACGGTCGTCACTCGTCACTAGATTTTTCTCCTACGGTCTTTAAATCCGTCCATACTGTTTCAATACATATTGCCTTGGCAACGATGTACCACTGGGTAGTGGAAACGCATTCGCTACAGGGCCCATTTGACTCCGAAGTGTCTTCCTGCTCAACCAGTAGTCCAGCACGTCTGTGACATGTGCTCTATGACCAAATTGTGTATTTTCGTTGCCTCATTTGGGCTCTCCCACTCAAGATTAAATAAATACATTGCTTGTTTGAAGGTGGTTGACAATGTTTCGTGGTGTATTTCATCAGTTCGGACTTCCATTGTCTAATATAATATAAATTGATTTGATAACCCTGAAAAAAATCAAAAAGATTAACCGAAAATAACAATTTTATTAAACAAAAAACTGAAATTACAAAGAAATAACATACAATAATAACCAAACAAATAAAAATTGAAATATTAATAAAAGCTGACATAATTCAAAAAATTAAAAATATTATTAACAAAAAATGAAAAAATAAAAATTAAAAGANTATTAGACAATGGAAGTCCGAACTGATGAAATAAATACATTGCAATAGGGATTCTCACTAAACTCAGTACTCGGCACCATGCTGGGACACTTGAGGCCAATCAAGTCGAACTCCATTGTTGAGCCAGCTTCGTAATGTCGATCATCGAATTTCTTCTGTCTCACTATTATCTCATCCGATATTTATAGTACTAATCCCTCAGAATCTGATTTTACGATTTTTATACGTATCTTTTGTTGAGTTGCAGAATACAAATTACGTTTTCATTATCAGAATTCTTTAAATTCCCTTCTAATCTCATGGACCCAAGTACGTAGGTATACTCCTTGCTTTCATTTGTGTTTTGCGGGTGTTGTGAATGATTTATGAATTCTCTCAAGCGTTATCGACATGTGCTTTCTGGGGATATGTCGTTTATATGCGAAATGTGGCGGTTTCTTGTTTGTTACATTTCCTTCTGCCTTGCTCAAGGAACATCCCGCTTTTTCTTATGTTTTGGTGAATCCCTTTTTCGTGTTACGTGAGGCGTTGGTCGTTTCTAACAGGCCCTAGTTTCCACAGTTACAAATCGCCAATTTTTGGAAAATCCAGTTTATACTCTCTGTTCAGAAAATGATCAAGATCTTCAGATGATGTGGTGCTGCAGGTTTTTGCGGGTTTTCCTGCAGCTGAAAAAGCAAATGCGCCACTGGAATCAATGAAGTCGCCCCGGAGCGCCAATTAATTTTTATTGTTGTTTTATAATTTAATGTTTCATCGAAAATGAGGTGAATTTTCTTTTTTTTTTTGAAAAATAATCATTCATTCATCAAGTTTTATTTTGTCACCTTCAAAGGAGGAACTCACTCACTGAACAATCACTCATTCATCTCTGTTTCTCCGTACTGGAGGGTCCTAGAAAGCTACAATTTGGCACCTATATAGGTGCTTCTTAGGTATTAGATGCGCCCTAGAAAAGGATTTTCAAATATTCCCCGTGGGGGTAGAAGAGGTGCGTTCACATATGAAAATTACCTTTTCATCACTGTTTCTCCGCTATATTTTCGGAGGCTGGAATTCTGTATGTAGGTTCGTTTTATGTTGTAGATATGCAATAGGAAAGGGTTTTTGAATATTCCAACTGGGGCCCCTCCCTGGGGTATAAAGATCGCCTTTACTTATGAAAATTACCTTATCATCACTGTTTCTACGTACCGGTATATTTTCGGTGGGTGAATTTATATTCAGTATCAGCATTGCATCCGTGCGGAGCCAAGGCTGATCGCTATTAATATAATCAAGATAATAGATGAAAAGGACCATAGATTAAAAATAAATAAAACAAAATAAAAATAAGCAAAAAATTTTGAAGAGATTTGAGAAATTAAAATAGATTTCAAACCAAGTTACTTCACGACGTTTCGATTGTTAGTATCCACAATTGTCTTCGGGTGATGACAGTCATCAGCCAATGACTGTAATGTTTTGCTTATTTCTATTATTCTTCATTTATTTTTACTCTGTGGTCATTTTCATCTATTGTTTCATATATTAATATTCTAGCTATTCATTCTAATTTTATTTGTTCTTCCATAGATTTCATGTTAGAATCATATAAGACAATATCACTATTTCGTTTCAACTTGTATTAGGTCATGTCTTTAGGTCATGCAACCGTGTTAGGAATCACACGTTGAAAGGTAAGATCTCGTTAGTCCTTAGCTCGCACAAGTTTCTCAACTTCTGAGAGTTGTCGTTCGTATGGGGACGACAGCTGATTAACGGAAACACAAACAGATTTTTGAAATTTTAAAGGCACGTTCATATTGTAATATCAGATAAATAAAAACAATATGAATGAAATTAATGAATGAAAGTGAAATCGGACAATTACATACTTGAATAGTTTTCAGGGTGTACAATTTTCTATGGATTCACATTGTATAATCTGCACGATCTGTATGTAATCAATTCAGAAGAGATTTTTTTTAAAATACATTTCAAAAAGTTCTATATTAATGTTTTTCAAAAATCACAATAATTCTAATAGATGGAAAAACGAAATTGACATAATATGTATTTGATGATAAACAGAATATATTGATGATGGTTGATGGATCCTTGAATTTTCAATCATTACTCACCTTTCTTTGTCAGATATTTGAGTACTGCTTCATTTTCAGACTCGTTTTCTATTGTGCTGAGTTTCATGGATAAATCATCACATTGTTTCATTGCTTGACAGAAGGATACCTGATAATGAAATATCGATTCAAAATATTGTGGGAAGATATCTTATTGAATATATTGATTTGAAAGAATTGAAAATTGCTGACCTTCTCCATTCCCAGATGATATATTTTGTTGCCAGTTTGGATGCGACCTAAAAATGTACATGTAGCAGTTACTACGTGGTAGGAGATCATCATGAAGAATGGAAATTGAAACTTCCTATGTTTTTATACCACTTGTATTTGTAACTAACGTTACTGCAGTTTCGTCCTGCAAGTAAATTTATTGTTTTCGTTTGAAAAGCTCCTGTAGGACGAAACTACAGTAACGTTAGTAACAAATACAATTTTTTTTGAAACATTGGATTTGAATCGCTGGAGATTAAATCCATTTGGAAAAACGTTCTCCAAATGAAAGGTGTAACGATGAGCAGCCACAGTCCGTCGCGTATTTCTGATATGTATCGCTCTTGGTTGAATCAAATGTGCCAAGTCAGTTGAACAATCTCCAATCTTCTTTCGATGTTCCAGACTATCAAGGTTGCAAGTGATGTTCGCGTCTCTAATCAGGCGAATGTCTCTTTCCTGGATGGAATCCAGCAGCTCCAGGTTATGCTTAGGAGCAAAGGTCCATGCATAAGAACAATACTTCAATGATGCTCTGATCTGAGCTTTATATAGCATCAAAGTTGCTGGGGTGTGTACAGTTTTCTGTTTCGGAACAGTGTTCCAAGCTTTTGAAAAGTAGCCTTTGCAATTCCAGCGACATGATTGTGCCAAGACATAACCATCAACAAACTCACTATTTCGGGGTTTTTGTGGCATTCAATTGAACCTGGTTCGTTTCACTTCAATTCGAAATCACTTCTAGATCCTTACTGAGATATGCAACCTCTTGCTGCCGAAGAAGATGTGCATCTGCAGCCAATGTCTTGGAATCCAAATGGAATGAAGAGACAAGTGTGCTGTCGTCAGCAAAGCAATATATTGGATTCTTCGATTTTCCAATAAATCGTTGGTATACTCATAATAAAAAGAGGGTTGGAGACAACATGGATCCCTGGAGAACACCAGCGTTCATGGTAAAAGTATTCGAGATACATCTATTGACGGCCACTTGCAGGGAGCGTTCTTTCAGGAAACTGGAGAGCCATACACAAAAATGATCTGACTAGCCATAGCATCAAAGTTTGGCCAGCAAATCCTCATGCCACCCACGGTCGAAGGCCTTAGAAATATCAAAGGCAACAGCTTTTGACTCTCCATGTTTCTTGATTGCGTTTTTCCAAATGTGGGTGACATATATAGAAGGTCGCCTGTTGATCTTTGTTTCCGAAAGCCATATTAATAATCGCTCAAGATGTTAAAGCCTTATGGTTAACGGCTTTCTCAGTGATTTTTGATATTACTGCGGCTAGACTATTGTTATTTGGAAGATTCTTCTTGCCCTTTTTGGGAATAGGCTGAACGCGAACAATCTTCCAACAAGGAGAAAAAACCCCTTCCTTGTAAGACAGGTTGAAAAGTCTGCAAAATACTGGTGCGAGATCATTTGCGCACTTTTTGAATACGATGACGGACACTTCATTAGGACGCCTTGTTAATATTGAACTGTTTCAAAATTCGCCTGACTTTAGACGTTGTCAGAAAGTAATTTACGGCATTGTGGATTCTAGTGTGGGTGGGTGGGATTAGTGGTGATTTATGGAATTCAAAATGTAGCCTTTTAAACACAACAATGAAATTTATTGAATATATAGGAGTAAGAAGTTCAATTTTTCCATATGAGCATCTAGATCCAAAATCAAATTCATTTCACTTCTAGAAATATAGAAATATGGCAAGGCTCCAACGATGCTCATTTCCAAGTTTCAATTCCAACATTAAGCAAAATCACTGTCACTGGACATTAAAGTTTTTATTACCTTTCACTTTTGTAATAACTAGCGCATGAAAATGAAACCCCAGATGCTTTAATGAAATGAAATGAGAGAGAAACAATACATTCGTCATTCGACCAGATAGACACAAAAACCGACGTACTCGAAATACAAAGAAAGAACGAAATGCACAAAATCCGTATCGATTCAGAAGCTTTCCCAGAAAGATTCAGGGGCAAATTGAATATTGCTAACGACTTCCCACTGTAACTTTTTACATGACTAATTATGCAGCAATAACACAGTCGTTGTCATTATAATATCTATGCACTATCGAATCCTAGAGGAATCTCTCAGAGTGGACATTATATGAAATATTGTAGACAATCTACACTGGTACGAAATATTCGCTATTCGACCAGCTGAAATATTCATTTTTGAAGAGCTTATCTTTAGGTGGAGAGGAAAATCTGACATACTCAAAATGCAAAGAAAGAAGGAAATGCACAAAATCCCTATCGATCCATAAGTTTTCCCGAATTCAGGTTATACGTTTGAACAGAATTTCCTCAATAGGAAGATTCAAAGGCAATTTCTTGAACATTATACGGCGTATTGTAGACATCCCTATACTGGTTCGTGGCACAAATATAACGATTCACCAATTTCACCGAAATATCTTGTGAAAAGAGAGGCGTATGTTGATGTACGACTTTGAATTTCTAACTTGAAAAAATACTTTGAAGAAATTTTTCTCGGCAGAGCTGAGTTTGAGGAATTCAATTGATCCTCCAAACAGGTTGAAATTGCTATTATTAACATATGGAAACATATTACATATCGAAATCTTGGACAAAAGCAAAGGTGGTATTTATGCCAGAGGAAGTTTTCAAAAGTTTTCGAAATTATTTACAACTTACGAGATGGATATGAGATTCATATCAAATGTTACATGGCTCGAAGAATTTATTTTCAAGGTATACGATATATTGACAAATTCATTTCTTCAGTGATAAGTGGTCGTGAAAAAATGATATCGGAACGAAAAGCGTTGATTTTATAATATATAATCCAATACCACGATACAATTCAGCGATGTTTCGTAGATCTCATCATGTTAGATACTAGGTCACAAAAACAACGTTAGAAGTCATTTTATCGTATATTAAACAAACCTGAGTTAGGGGTAACAATGGGGAGTTGGCTGTCTTCGTTCATCTTTCACTGCCTGAACCACTGTGCATGCTGTTTTTGGCGAGTGCATTGGCTTGGGATGTGGAGGTTGAGCAAACCGGCCATCGGATGCCTGCTTCCACGTAGCCCCGCTGGATACGGGAATGACAGAATCACTTGTGGTTCTTTTATTCCCTAACTGAATGGCATCCCAACGATGGCCTAATCCTAAGGTGTGTGTATCCGTGCCGAGAGGATGAATGACACTGAGCCTATCAGCTGTCTCTACGAACCTTCAAGATAGCGGGCACCCTCTCGTCGTAGCATCGCCTAATCACGTGACTCTGTCGTGATTGACCTTTTTTCCCCAGCTGCTCGTAGGAATTTTTATGGACAGAGTAAACTTAAAAATTATTTCTGACGCTGAGTCTGTAGAGGAAATGGATATCGAGCTTACGACTCCAACTGACCTACCTGTAAATTTAGATCAGGAGCGAGTCTACAGAGGAGATGGATGTCGAGTTTACGACTCCAACTGACCTCCCTGTAAATTTAGATCAGGAGCGAGTCTACAGAGGAGATGGATGTCGAGTTAACGACTCCAACTGACCTCCCTGTAAATTTAGTTCAGGAGCGAGTCTACAGAGGAGATGGATGTCGAGTTAACGACTCCAAGTGACCTCCCTGTAAATTTAGTTCAGTTGAGAGAACTTCTCAACTCCCCAACTCCTGATCCAATAACTGAACCTAAAAATAAGGTTTGGTGGTGCAGCCAGGAAACGACTGAGTCGTTTCCTCGAGAGCGGGGTACCTAATAAAACTGCCTTGTACCAAATTATTGAGCGGCGTTCGCAAATGTTTCCGCTCAAGTGATGATTCACTAAAACCAGAGGCAAAAAATCCCTGCATGGTTGAATCTAAAGCATCGTCAGGTGTAGCTGACGTGCAAAAACCCTCATACTGGAAGGTTGTCGTGGGTATTGAAGTGGAAATCTTGCCTATTCGACTTGACTATTCGATGAAACAGCAGAGCATATACTTTGTGTCTGCCTGTCGGCCTGTCGGCAGATCCGTACTCTTACAATCTGACCTGAAAGACCACTCACCATGCAAACTAATTGGCTTCGTAAAGAAACTGGGTTTATTTGGTCGAGTGTGAATAGGTTTAAGCCATAATAAACTCCTGCGGGTTGCGGTAGAGGGTCGAATAGACCCACTCACTTTGGAACTGAGCTGAGCTAACCTAACCTAGGGGTAACAATAATGACTCCCTATACCAAGATACCATCTATGAAACCGATAGAAAATTAAAACCACGCAAAAATGAATAATAACGAGAGTCCCAATAGCTTTTACTTCAAAAAGACAACCAGGAAGGAGTCCTCGAAATATCTCCTAACAAGACCGGTTATTCACAATTTTCATTTCATTTTTTCAGTAGGGGACCGCCAGTCTTCTCAATATGACTTTCACAAATAACACATCTCTCAAAACGCTTTCAGTTGATATTAATTTGAACTTATTTCATTTTTTTTTAAACACCTCTCTTTTGGACTCCACTCCGACCACGACATCCACGTGCCATCTTTGAGGATGTGTTATCGGCATAACCGTTCCTCTGTCGCGATCGGAGAATTGGTAAAATTTATAAACAAACTTTTGGTACTCCAATGGGAGCTAAGATTGGCCCCATTTTAGCAGCTTATGTCATGGATGACTTGCTAGATTTGGTCTTACAGGTACTTCCCTTCAATCTTTTCTTTATAAAAAAGTATGTCGATGACATTATTATATCCCTTCCTCAAGATGGAATATTTGAGATTGTGGACATCTTTAATAGTTATGACCCTTACATATACTTCACCATCGAAACTGAGAACAACGAATAATGGGTTCCATTCCTTGACACTAAGGTTATCAGAATACCAGATAATACTTTACTCATAGATTGGTATCGCAAACCTAACTTCTGATAGGTTCTTGAACTATTGGTCATACCATAAACAATCAACGAAAATCAATTTGGTCAAACAAATGAAGAACCGCATTCTGCAGATTTCCAATCCTTCTTTTCATAAAAAAAAATTGAGTACACTTTTCCAATTATTTATCAATAATTCCTACCCGGTGATTTTATCATCTGAAAGAAACACATCTAAAAGATTGTTTTTGGAAATGTCATTTATTTTACAACCTCAGTGAAATCTATGCCATTTTATTAGACATTGACAAAAATCTACATGAATTCCAAACCAACAATAATTCTGGTTTATCATTAATATATTTTTCATAAATTTCAAACATTTTCTCTTCAACAAAAATTTCCAGCCTCCCTAAGGCAGGTTTTTACTTTCATTTAACAACACCTCTTCACTTGTTTTCTCCTAAAGACTAATCAGGATGTTGTTCAATCAATTCACATGTTTCAATTGTTTAGATGTAACATTCTTTTCGACACGGCCAACCTCACTAACAGTAAGTTGAGACCTTTCATAATAATAATTTTTTTTAATTGAAGGGGTTATATTTCTGGGAGTAACTTTTGGAAAAGAAAGTTTTTGTCTTTCTACTACTCCATCTTGATACAAAAAAAGGATAAGGGANGAGTGTTTTCAAATGAAAAAATGGACAGAGAAAAAAGAAAGGGAAAAATTGACAAGAATGTTTATTCTCGATAGATAGGACGGCACAAGATGAACTGCACCAAATGCTTCAAAATCAATCCGAATTCTATTTAGATAATTCTGGAGATCAGCATTGAAAATAATAAGTTTTAAAGATCATTGATGTCGTCAAGGGTCACAACTTTGATAATTCCAATGGCTTTACTGAATTTCACAAAAATATTACCATGATTTGTCCAGACTTTTCCATTGGTTCCAACTTTCATCAGAGCTTCCTTCACTAATTTTTATTGTGATGAGGTTAAATCTTCACGAATGAGAATACCAGAGGAAAATTGTAATGGAGCAGTCACAAACATTTTCAAAAGCAGAATGAATTTAGATATACATGATACTGATATTGAGGCATGTTACAGAAAAGTAAACGCTTTAATAATAATAATAATATTTATTTTCCCACAAGGGATGGTCAGTATATAATGCAAGAGCATTAAAACAGAGTACAGTCATTTAAGAATGAAGATATTGTGGTTGGATATTAGAAGTAAATGGTAGCATGGCAACAGCATGTACAAAAACTGCAGTCTTGATAAGATATACTGAGCGAAAGCGAAAGCTTTTGACTACTGAAGTGAAAAACTAAACTGAACTAAACCCTGAACCCCTATTTAGACAACAGTGACTTAAATCGGATTGAAACTATTCCAAATTCCTGAATGAAAATAATATTCGTTATAAGCGGAAGAATTAGATTTTCTTACAAAATAACTGAACTAGCTTCATATGACTGATAGTGAGTACATTTTATCTCCTACAGAAAATATATTCACAATTCTGCACACAGTGAAGAATTGTTCAAGATATTTATCTCATATAATCTTTCATCTGTTATAAATAGTATTTATTGTTGGAAAAATATTTTTTTGGATCCTTCATTCAATTCGTTCAAATGCATGTTCAAGAAAAATCTATTTTACCTTCAGCTATCTAAAACAGAGTGAATCCATATAGAGGGTTCGCATCGATAATCTGAAACTATTAACCATAATCTATTACCTCTCTATGTTTTCTTTCATAATCTATTACCTCTCTGTGTTTTCTTCCATTATCTATTACCTCTCTGTGTTTTCTTCTTCTTGTGCATTCAAACAAAATTTGTGTATTTATATTACATTAGATTATTTGGATTATTGATTCAATAAATCAATCATTGTTTGAGTTAACACACTATTTTTTCGCGACATGGAATGAATGATTTTTTCATATAAAAACCGTACGTCAAACTGAGAAAAAAACATGGGACTCGATTTACTCATAAAGAAATGGGGTTTCAAAAATAAATTTAATTGTGAGGAAAAACAGTGAAGGAACTTACTGGTAATAATAAAAAATCATGTAGAAGAAATGTACTATCTAAAATCATATCAAATTCATCATTAAAAAAAATTTTGTTAGCTCTAGCCTCTAGTTGCGATGATGAATAACTGTTTTGAGTATGCATTTGATGCAGTGGTTCACTAGCATTAAAACTTATGAGTGCGTCTTCGGTATCTTTATTCATCCTTACTAACATGTTTCTATGTTTTAGTTACAACAACATTGCAGTTATAAGTTTTGGGATCACCTTGTGACTCTAAGGATACTGGTAGATCCCCATTAACAAAAATCTGCACAACGGGCTTGTCTCTTTCACAGGCCACTTTACGGTTTGTGAAACAATTCTGATCGTTATACTTGATTGTATCGCCTCTGCGGACTATTTCCACGCACACCTTGACGTTCTTTCTCCTGTCGTTGGGTTCACTTCTGTCCCACGGAAGGAAAGTGACTTTCTCTCCGGAAGGAACCCTCCAATCGGTCTGGTTAAAGTTAGATATGGCGCTCCAGTAACGATTACCATTACTAATTCCTGAAATATAAAGAGTGTGAAATAAGCTCGATTTAATGAACTTAGCTAACGTGCCCCTTTACTTCACTTCTGTTAGTCATGTCAATAACCATTTTTCCGTGTAATATTTTCATCAAAATTGGGATTCAGGTTTCACCTACCCTCTATTTCAAATTTGATCCTGTACCGGGGAGAGGATGCCACCCCTTCTCGGGGTGAAAAATGTTTCATTGAAAATACCTCTGGAAATGAATAAATTAAGTAATCCTAATCAACTTTTTAGTGTTCGACCGAAACTGGTTTTTACGATCGAAACCGAAACTTTCTTACAAGGATTATGTTTTTAGGGAAAAATAAAGAAAACGTTATTATAATCACTCAGTCTTTATTTTTTTATCATTAAATCACAACGTTATGCAGTCTTTGACATTTTTACTTTTTGATAATCAACCAATCAACATAACAACCCCTTATTCAAGAAAATATATTTATTGCGCCTTAAAAATACTTAAAATAGGTGAGGTATTTATTTGAGTAGGTGTAGATTTTCCTTTTGAATATTAATGGTTTCTCAAAAATATTAAACATTAAATTACTTGTGATGCACTGTTTGAAACCTTTGGTGTGGAGTGTTAAACTGAGGTATTAAAATAACGGTTTGATATTGGGAAAAACTCCGTAATATTCATAAAATTACTCATTTAAGTTGTTACCTAATATCACAATAGGTACTTAATAAATATTTATGTAATAAACAAAGTAAATCACAAAGTATCTAAGTCACGACATGATTAGGCACGTGGATTATAAATGAGCCAACCAGCATTCCTGACCGTGATGGAGAATATGCTAGTCTTCTGGATTTATACCTATCAACCAATCCAAAAATTCACACAGTTACCGTAAGGTTTTCATTGGGATCTTCTGACCACAAACTCATGTACATGAATCACCGATAAATATTGGGGAACAATCTTAGCCGCGCAAAGTTTGGTATTACAGATCTGCTGAGTGGGAGGAACTTCGAAACCATGGCATTTCCGAAATTTTCCCTGGCTTAATGTTTATTTCAGCTCCAATGATCCATCAACTTGTGCTTCTGAAGTCACGGAAGTTATTCTATCATCCATGGATGCATATATTCCTTTTTCAATGAAACGAACTTCTAACGGCAAACCTCAGTTCAACAAAAATTGCGAGCAATCTGTCGCCTCCAAAAATGTCGTATACCGGCAGTGGCGCAAAAATCCCAGTGTCAAAAACCTAACTAGGTTTGTTGATGCTCGCAACGGCTGCGAACTTAAAATAAATGAAAGCAAAGAACTTCCTAGTCAGAGGATCAGGGATAAACTGCTTGCCAATCCCAACGGGTCTAGATCCTTCTGGTTAGTAGCTCAAGATGTTAATCAAAACTTTACAAAATTCACAATTCGACCACCAACACAAGTGGATGGTTCAATTGCAACAACAGCCATAGAAAAAGCAAATCTATTGCCTGATTAATTTGCGCCCTACTCCACAGTAGATTTTCTGAGAAAGGCACCACTGACTATTCTCACACTAGGATCAACAATGCCGGAAATTATTTTTCGACAACGTCTAGTCAGGTGAATTTTAAAACAGCTCAATATCAACAAGGTGTCTGGTCCTGATGAAGTGCCCGTCATCGTAATTTCCAACCAGTCTTACAATATAGGAGTTTTTCCTTCCCGTTGGGAGATTTCTCGCATTCAGCCTATTCCCAAAAAGGCCAAAAAAATCTTCCAAATAACTATAGACCAGTCGCTTTGCTGTCAGTGATATAAAAAATCATGTAAAAAGCCGTAAGGCACCATATCCTCAAATATTTGGGAGGCTTCAACATCTTGAGCGATCATCAATATGGCTTTCGGAAACAAAGATCAACAGGCGACCTTCTATCGTATGTCACCCATATTTGGAAAAACGCAATCGAGAAACATGGAGATTCAAGAGCTGTTGCCTTTGATATTTCTAAGGCCTTTGACCGTGTGTGGCATGATGATTTGCTGACCAAACTTTGATGCTATGGCTTGTCAGATCATTTTTGTGTATGGCTCTCCAATTTCCGGAAAGAACGCTCCCTGCAAGTGGCCGTCGATAGATGTATCTCGAATACTTTTACTATCAACGCTGGTGTTGTCCAGGGATTCATGTTGTCTCCAACCCTCTTTCTATTATGAGTATACCAACGACTTATTGGAAAAATCGAAGAATCCAATATTTTGCTTTGCTGACGACAGCACACTTGTCTCATCATTCCATTTGGATTCCAGGTCATCGGCTGCGGATGCACATCTTCAC